ATTGGATTATGTCGTCTCAAGATCTAGATAAATGTACACATGAGAGGGAGTAAATGCGCGCTGCACTCTTTTTATCTTAACTATGGTTTTTCGCATATGCTTTTCCTAGTAAATTTTTTTAATGAGACAGCATCTTGCGTGCTTTACTACAATATGTTCTTTCCCCTTATCTTCATTACTGTTGATCTTTTTCAGTGTCCGATAGCGCTTGATCCATTAGTGAAAAGTTTTCAAAGTATGACGAACTTATGATGCTTCAGTATTTTCCAATGATTCTTTTGTTTGTCTTTATATATATGTTCTTTTTGTCCAAATAACCTGTAAAAACTTGACTTTAAAAACACAGTAAAAGCACTGAAAAATCATAGTGAAACCTGGTAAAAACCCACTAATATTAGGGGGTTTTAGGTTACGCTCATGCATGAATATTGTTTAAAACAATGAAGTAATTTTTGGAAATGGTACTTAGAATACTGTAAAAATTTACTTACCTGCTTAACTTAGGGCCTGACTGAATTAAACGCAGGAGTTACAGTTGCGAGTGCGGGAGTTTGCGGAAGCAAACGATTGTGGTTTTTAGCGTTATTAAGTGGTTTGCACGACTGGTTAAACTTTTTAAAGCGGATCTGTTTGCGAGACATTTTTGACTGGCAAACCAACGAATGTTTTAGCAGTTTAACATAAAAAGTATCAAAATAAACATCATATATAGTTATAAAAAGACATAAAAACTATATCCTCTATACATTAAACAGGAAGAATTTGGAGGCCATTTTGCTGAGGTGTCGCTCCCACAATTTTTCTCAGCATTTTTCTTTTAAATAATTCATTATATTCCACCTATGATTATTTCCTTATTTATATCCCTCCGCCAATTAGAATTTAATTTATTATTTACTAAATTTTTTATTCGTTTTCCTTATTTAGCTCAACTGACTTCTTTTAAAATTTTTGATTTATACATGCATAATTTTCATCTCATCTACCTTATTTTCAACACAAAACAACTATATACTAATTTAAATTGTCAAAGCAATCGATTGATTAACAAAATTTAAATTTAAATTATTACTATCTTTATTTTCTTATTTTTATGCAAAATTTATATTCACATTCCTATCATAAATCAACATTCTGAGAAGTACAAATTTTATTATTCTACATAATTACTATTATACAAATGAGGTATGTATTTATACAAATGATGATTATAATTATATTCAGTCCAATATACATGAGCCCATATTTGCGCTTCATACATTTCAAATCTTATTTACAATATTGTTTATATTAATGTGTCAATATACGTGATCCCATAATCTCGGTTATACGTGATCCCATAATCTCGGTTCATTTAATTTAAAAAATTAATTACCGTAATAATGAAGAAATCATAACTCCACCTTATACTTTCCTCTGA